CTGAATGATATGCGAGCTTGTCTTGTAACTGGAAGGTTCTGGGTTTGAACTCTAGCAGTGCGTACGTACTGTCAGTGATTCCAAAACTAGGACGAAACGGCTGTCCAGCACTCTCTGTAGGTTTTCAACGGTTTTCTAACAGATAATAATCCGTGATCAAACTGGAAAAAACAACCTCTTGAAAGTAATAATAATTTTGTGTCTCTGTTAACCAAAAAATCATGTCACCCTTGCAGCAAGTATGTTATAATTTCTCTGTGAATATGCACAGTTAACTTTTAGGTTGTATGCAACTGAACGGAAACCAAAAATATAAATAATGGTCTCAACTAATGCTGCATAAAGACTTGTTCCCGCTTCATTTAATTTCATAAAGTAGAATAAGTCTATGAAGTTTCGTTTAAATGTGATTGGTGATATGATTCTTATATCTTAAACTAGTGGGAAATGACTTCTTCAAACCTTATAGTGTTCTAACTTCTCACAATTTTCCAAATGAAATATAATAAGCATCAGTTTTCTAGGGAAATATATCCGAAGAAATTTTTCTTTTTCGTCCTGTACAGTCAGGGAAAAATACGCCATCGTTAAAGTCATCGTGTTGAACTTCAAGCCAAAAGGTTCTGAGCCGGTAACTAATTTCGAAAAGACTACTTTCAAATAGACTGGATACAATTATTGTTTGTGATAATATACTTCTGTCTTGTTCAAGCAGCTTAATAAGAAATTTGTGGTGGTGTAACTGATTGGGAAACGGTTGTATTATTATTATTGTCAAGTATTAGAAAGATAACAATATTATTGTGATTAGGTGTTCGGAGGCGATCGGCAGGAAGCCTTGGATTTAGGTTTCGTGCCTGTTGGCACTTGCCAGTCAGCAAGGCGTATTTTCAATCTTGAAGGAGCTCACGTCCCTTCTGGGATTCGCAACCTAGGCATAAATCTTCCTGTCGATTGCCGCCAACCATCTAATAACAATAATTTTGAGTGGATGGTGACGGTGAGCCAACTAGCATGGTGGTGAAATTGCAAACTTGTCACTAGTTAGCATCTAATAAAAAGACAACAGTATTGTTGTTACTAAATGTTTGGAGGCAGTTGGTACCAAACAAATGACTAGAAGCATGATACTAGGTATTTATTACTTAGTTTTCAATCAAAGATAGCAAATCACAGGCCATTTCTCAATAAATTTTAATTAAATGTTTCTGTTCTCAAGGTAGTGACACTAATTAATGGGACTTAGTAAGACCGAATATATAACGAAAATAGTAAGGCGTGCTTGCTATCGAGTAGACACAGGGCAAATACTTCGATCAGGTCAGTTAGCACTTGAGAGTATACGAGTGTTCCAAATAACAACTATATATATATATATTCGAGTGTTCAGCCTAGTTGATGACTTCATCAAAAAGTAAATTTTCCCCGTTAATGCCTGTTTGACATGCCGACTCCATTATTGCAAAAGGTCTGGAAGGAGGAAAAGGTGCCTACTGACTGGAGGAAAGGTTACCTCGTGAAACTACCAAAGAATGGAGACTTACGCCTCACTCTGCAAGAACTGGTAAGGAATCATGCTCCTGTCAACGCCAAGTAAAATCCTGAGTCGCATCATCCTGGAGAGATTAAAGGACGCACTGGAGACAGAACCCCAACCAGAACAAGCTGGATTCAGGAAAGTCAGGCAAATCATGTTCTGACCAAATTGCAACTCTACGCATCATCATCACAGAACAAAGCATGAAATGGCAATCAAACCTCTACCTCACCTTTATAGACTTTGAGAAGGCCTTCGACAGAGAGCGTTGACCGCGAAGTAATTTGGAAACTACCCGAGTACTACGACGTACCGCTAATATTCATCAACCTTATTCAACAGCTGTACGACAACGGCATATGTCAAGTGATCCACAACGGAATTTCAGCGATATAAGAACAAAACTTGTGCACTGTGGTAGAGTCTAATTCCATTATGGGTAAATTTTGTTTTGATAAAGTCTCCCAGTGTTATACAGTAATGTTATGTTACAGCGAGGCGTTTGGAGTAAACACAGGAGTCAGGCAAAGGTGCTTATTATCCATCACCAATGATATTCCTAATTGTGGTGGACTGACTGGATTATGCGTCAGACAGTGGGAAACGAGCAGACAGCGATATCCTGGACCGACGTGAAGAATTTAGAAGAGCTGGATTTCGCGCGTGGATGATTTATGTTTGATGTCACACACACAAAATCGAAGACTTACAGGCGAAAACCAAGCGACAAACTGGTCGAAGAAGCAGCTGGCGAAGACAGGACTTCAAGTGAACATAGACAAGACGGAGGTGATGAAAATAAACAACCAACAACAACAGCAACATTCAGCGTCAATCACCATCAACGGGAGGGATTTCAAAGAGGTTACTTCATTCACTTATCCAGCTAGGGAGCATTTTCTCAACTACAAGAAGTCGGAACGGACGAGGAGGATGTCAAATCGAGCGAGAATCGGGAAGGCGAGAAACACATTTATCAACCTGAAACCATTCTGTAAATCTTCGTCACTCAGAATCAACAACAAAATTCGGTCGGATTTTCAATACAAATGTCAAATCAGTCAGTTCTTCTTTACGGATCAGAAACTTGGAGGGTCACAAAGAATATTTCCAACAGCCTGTTTCAGACCTTCATCAACCAACAACTGTCTTCGCCCGCTCTAAACTGAGGGTCAGATGGCCGGGTCGGAAAGCATCACCAACTATGGGAAACTATGGGAACAAACAAAGCAAGAACCAATTGCTTAACAAATATGCAGGAGAAAGTGGAGATGGACTGGACACTCGCCGAGGAGACCGCTGGGTGACATCGCGCGTGAAGCCCTCGAGTGGAACTTGAAAGGGTAGCGGCGTGTGGGACGTCCAAGGTTGACATAGAGGAGATCGTGTGAAGAGGAGTTGAAAGAGTATGTTCTAACATGGATGCAGGTGAAAAGTAGAGCAGACAGGAGCGAATGGAGACGTGCAGCTGAAGCACTGTGTTCCACTAGAAACCCAAGTAGGCAATAATAATAATACCTGTTTGCAGTGTTGTTATTTGTTATAATTTGGTCCTCGGTCAGGAATAGTTCTGGAACTTTCTCATCCTTTTTAACAAATAAAAATTTGCAGAGAATTTAAAGTCACGGAGCTAACCTTAAGTTAACGACTACATATACAGAAATTTTGACAGTGTGCTTTAGTAAATAAATAAAGCTAATTAGGTTTATAGTATTTAGGACGAAGTCAACCGCTTTGTCTTTGTACACAAGTTATTTCAACATATTTTTCAGTATTACTTGTGGTATAGTAATGACAGTACAGTCTATGATGAAATCCATTCACATCTGTGAAAATAATAACACCTAATGTGAGCCAGGTATATCCTATTCATAGAAATGGCGCTATTCAGGTCACACAGTAAGTTACTATATAATACGCGATAGAAAAAATCTGCTTATACGTCAACTTCATAAACCTTTGATCGTGTGGCGAAACTGTGTTCAAAAGAAAAGATTGAGGAAGAGCTATCCATTGTGAAGAAATGCTTACGCGACAACGGTTACCCACAAACGTTCATCGACAAGTATGGGAGACGTCATGTTGAGAAAGTGAAATGCAGCACAGTAGATAAAAAGCCAATCTTTCTGCAGCTTGCATTCAAAGGTGATGATACTGCTAGTAGAATAAGATGCAGACTGAACGCTGACCTGAAAAGAACATATCCAGCCGCCAAACTTTTATGTGTTCATCAAACGACTAGTTGTTTGAGACAATCAAAAGTGGACAAATACCCACCTCATGTTATCTCCACGTGTGTCTACCAACTCACATGTACGTTCTAAAGCACATACACTGGAAGAATAGAGAGAAGGGTTAGTGTCCGCATTCATGAACACATACCAAAGAACCTGAGACTGAAAGATCCGCAAGCATTAAACAGTGCGATTGCTCATCATCTATTGGACACTGGTCATATTGTAGACAACCTGAAGTCGTTCAAAATAATCAACAAGCAAAAGAAACCTAGCTCGCTACGCTTTGCTGAAGCAATTGACATCAAACGACTTAAACCAAATCTATATACGCAGAAAGAGACAGTGGTGAATCTTGCACTACCCTGGTGATAACAAAAAATATACAAATCTCATGAGTCCCCCTTTTTCATGTTTAGAATAATTTACTCCTTCATCTAAACATGACTCACCCCAGCTTTTTTCTTTCCTTTCCTTTTTTCTATTGGCCATTTCTTTTCTTTAGTTACTTAATCTACTTTTTTATTATGCTCTTTCTAGCTAAACCTTGTTTCTATACACACACACATATATACGCAACCCTGTTTTTTTGTTTCCAAGCCTTATTGTCTAATTGTTCTATAAATAGTCAGTGTTTGTAACTCCTAATCAGTTAAACCATTCCGGACTAATGTTACTTTTAATTCCTACCAATTACTCCTTACGATCGTGGAAATGTATGTTCACATTTTTAATGTAATTCATATTTTTTAACGTTCAGGTTGTAACCAGTTGAGAAGAATGACCGAAATAATAAAAGATGAGCTCATATTATCCTGGTACAGTTGTTGTTCTTGCCTTGTTCAACCTTTGAATTATATGCACTACGTGTAACGTAAATCTATGAAAAACAATAGGTTAATTGTAGCTTTCATATAACTATGATGACTTCAACAGTCTCATATCATATGAAGTTTAAAAATTTTAATGAGTTAGATAGATAGATGGGCAAACAGACAGATAGATGCACGTCGTCCTCGACCTCCAACGGTCGACTACATAATTCCCTGTGATCTTTATATCGCATTAGTATTGATTAATATAATCTCATGATAGTTAGATACAAGCTTGAAGATGAATCCGATCTCCACTATCCCACCATCTTTTTTAATGACACTTGAGACATCATTTGAAAGTTTTCCACTTTATTCTTTAAATAATAACTTTTTCTGTTTATTTTTTTTTACAAGGTACTGGTGCATGGAACGAGCAGTTTCTTTCCACTGTCAGAGAAATGAATGAATCGCCAAATTTATGCCAACAAGGCAGACATCAGTCACCAATTAATATCTTGACCACTAATCTTGTATATGATCATTCGTTGCCTGTAATGGAAATAGAAGGGTTAGAAAAGCAAGTAAATTAATCTCAGTAATAATTCGATAAATCTCAGTAACTTAATGTATATATATTTTGTATAATACGTTTATCTACTTATTATAGTCTAATATTAGTTCTGCTTGCATTAGTTTATAATGAATTTCCATATGTACCTGTAAATCAGGACGAGGCAGTTATTTTAACCAAATCATCTGACGTTATTCTGTTCCAATTAACGTACTGCTATGTAAAGGATGATTATTTCAGCCTATCTACAGCACTACTTGAAAGCAGATTTCATCACGAAATCGCGTAGCATGTAGCAAGAAAACTTGGTGTATACTGAATAACTAGTTTGGAACTATTAAGTAGGGCACAAGTGCAACCTTGGAAGGGATTATAATTCGTCGAGCAAGCTGAAATCTAATGTTCCATTCACTGTAAACTCTTTTAATTTAAATTACAATGCCGTTGTCATCTCATCTCCTGTCGTTATGGACGACTTGATTTTGCAATAGTCGGCTAATTGAATGCAATCTGTCAGCAGACTCTCTTTTTTTAATGTATTAACCATCTCCTTACAAAATCAGCGTCTTAACGTGATATCTGTTTTCACACTTCAAAATGCATTCAGACAAAACTTTTTTATCCAGTACTGAAATAGTCTAAATGTTCTAAATGAAAGGTCACGGGTTCGAAAGCTGATTAGCCACGAACTGGGACGAAACAGCTACCCAGCACCTCCCCATTCTAAATAGTCCTCTAACTGATATCAAACCGTGGTCAAACTTGAAATACTCTTTTATTATACTAGTCAGAATATAAAAACATTTTAGATAATATACTTATAAAACAAATAATGGCTAATCAACATGCTTCAAAAAAGCAGTTTAGACAAGCAGTGGACATTCATCTTCTACCAGGTAACATACCTGAACAATCAGAGCAATTCACCACAGAATGTGACTACTACTTATCATCTCTGCTTTAAAGGAGCAAACAATGACATAAACCACCAGTAAACTTATTGACTATCATACAACGGCAAATATTAATTATCCTTGGGAAAAAAAACCTTCTGAATAATTATGATCATTGTCAATATGCCAAAATGTCTAACAATAATAAATAAATCTCCGCATTATAAATCCATAATTAGGCCATAACACTGACAGATTGTCCTTCTGTGTTATTATAAATTGGTTGTCTTTGTAAGACAATAAATCTCAGTATAGCAGTAGATGCATATCAGAGTGAGGCGATTCTCTTTCCTTCTCCTTTTTTTTGTATTTCCATGAATGAAACAATCAATTATTCATTGAGAGAAGAGGAAAATCCCTCCTCAGCTCAGCTCAGCTCAGCTTCAATGAGCTTCAATGAAATAAAAATATTAATAATAATAAGGCTAGTTCATTAATGGGGGCTAACACGTAATCAAAATAGTCATGTTTCTCAGTAGAATGAATTCACTTCTTGCCTTTGTCTACTTCAATTAAGCTAATTATACGGATGAAAAACTTTTTTCTTTAACTAGGCAGCATGTAGAACAGGTTATCCTTGAAAGCAAAAAGGAAATAAATGAATTAGGGTTAGAAAAGACTGGAAAGGAAAACTTTCATTCGTAGCATATTTTTTTATCCATAGTATTTAAAAAAATCTAATAATTGCATGGAGGATTTAATCATGAGCTGACATCAGTTAGAGAACCACTGGAAAACCTGGAAGTACTGGACAGCTGTTTCGTCAACCTGGTTTGGGACTCTTCATCAGTACGCACCCACCGGGATTCGAACCCAGGACCTTCTGGTTACAAGGCGAGCTCGTAGACCATTGGATCCGGTCCCAGTGGCTCAATGGTCTACGAGCTCGCCTTGTAACCAGAAGGTCCTGGGTTCGAATCCCGGTGGGTGCGTACTGCTGAGGAGTCCCAAACCAGGTTGACGAAACAGCTGTCCAGTACTTCCAGGTTTTCCAGTGGTTCTCTAACTGATGTCAGCTCATGATTAAATCCTCCATGCAATCAAACCAAATCCCTACAAAACAAATACTTGAAAATCTAATAATCATACTTTATGCTTCTATTCTACAGTAAAGCGTTCACGAAATATGAAATACTCCATCGCTTACAAATAAAAGAAACCGTTGGGATAAGGTGTTAAGGTGTCTGTAGTTGTCTTCTTCGTATTTCCCTAACAGACGTTATAGAAAAGACTAGTTCAGTAAAGCCTTCCGAAGATACACAAAGAACAATTCCCCCTGAGACTCATACTTTTCATTATCAATTCGCCGCAAAATAAGGTGGTACGTTGGCTTGCGGAGAAGTTGGAACCTATTTGTCAACGGCTAGGCGTGCACACTTCTCTGAAAGTGTGAACCACATGAACGTTCTAAATAACTTCATGGTGTCATTTGATGTAACCTCCCTGTTTATAATAATTCCAATCAATGAAACTATTGAGATCATTTGTCAGCAGTCCAATCTTCTCCCACTCCCAGAATCGGAATTCAAACGCCTACTGCTTATGTGTACCATGGATGTGCAATTTCAATTTGACAACACTTTTTACCGTTAAATAGATGGTGTAGCTATTGGCAGTACACTAAGCCCCGTTTTAGCATATATATTCATGTCAAACCTTGAAAGAACAAAGTTGAGGCATGCAATCGACAAAACATCCTCCTATTGTCGTTATGTTGATGACACATTTATAATGTGCAAAAATGAAAGTCATCCTTCACACTTACTAAGATTACTCAGTGATGCACACGCCAATATTGAGTTCACTATGGAACATGAAAATGACGGAAAGTCTCACTTCCTCGACATCGCCATGGAACGCCTAGAAGACGGTAGTCTTCAAAAGTCAATTTATCGAAAGCCCACATGGAAAGGATAATACTTGCATTTTAATAGCTTTTGTCCAAATAGCTTTAAGCGTGGTCCAGTCAAGACTCTGTACTATAGAGCGAGGAGAATATGCTCCATAGAGAAACTAGAGGAGGAGTTTGAGTTCCTTGAAAAGATATTGAAGAGCAATGGTTACCCTCAAAGGTTTATCAACAAGTATGGAAGATCTGAAGTCACAAATATAAAACAAATCACAGTGGAAAAAAAGCCAGTCTACCTTCAGCTTGATTATAAAGGTGAAAACATTGTAGCAATGATCAACAGAAGGCTGAGTACATCACTAGCCATAGCCTATCCTGCAGCTGAACTCGTTCCCGTCAATCGAAAAACTTGTTCTTTGGTACAATCAAAAATCGATAGATATCCTTCTCATGTTACCTCCAACTGTATATACAAATTTACGTGTATCTGCGGGAGCAGTTACATTGGAAGAACAGAAAGAAGGACATATCTACGATTTTCCGAACATGTACCAAAAAGCTTACGTCTAAAGGGAACAAATACTTTAAGCAGTGCTGTCGCCAGGCATCTTCCCGACTCGGGTCATGAGGTGGACGTCGAAAAGTCGTTCAAAATTAATAATAGGCAAAAGAGCTCAATTCTCCTTAAGTTTTCTGAGGCGATTTCCATCAAGCGCCTGAAACCTGATTTATGCATCCAGAAAGAAGCGGTTATCAGTCTTTCTTTGCCCTGGTAACTGGATATTTTCACCTCTCTTTCTTCCGAGTGCGAAATGCTAAAAGTTTCCATTGTGTATGATTATTATTGTTCGGAATAGTGTTTAATATTGCCTATTTATATATGTGTATATTTTAAGTGTATGCATATATTGATCGATTGATTTTTGTTTAAAATGAACTCTGTGCAAGTATGTCAAAATTGTTGCTGTAGATATATTTAATAATGTCTTTGCCATGTAAGCAGCTGACGAGAAGGCAACGAAATAAAAGATGATACCATTTTATTCTGCTAAAACTGGTTCTTGCTTTGTTCAAAAACCACGAATGACTGTTTGTGAGGAATAAGATGATACCGCCGTTTATTTCGTTGACTCCTGATCACCTATGTAAAACCTTAGGAAATTACTGATTTTATGTACAGAACAATTTTAACATACTTGCAAATCACCAAAAATACCGATTGAGTCATGAAAAAAATGAAAGACAGATTCAGCGAAGAAAATTTTCTTTATCGACGAAATCATCTTCAGAGGCTGGAGGATATGTTCAAGTGATACAATCGACGGGGAACTGGGGCGACTCAGACAACTCCTCATAGAGAATGGATATCCTCCAAGATTTATCGAGAAATAATAATAATAGCTTTATTCCAAAAACAACACTCATGATACAGCAAGGAATTTTCAGCATTTCAGTACAATATTGCATCTAATTTACTCAAAAACGACAAAAACAAATGAAAAATACCCATTACATAATAGTAATAAAACGATTGTTATAGCAGCTACGTATCAAAATACTGTGTGCCATACGGAGAAAAATATGTATAAAGTACAAAATTGTAGTAATAATAGTAATACCAACTAAAAATAAAATAGCAGAGTAACGATTTAAACGATAGAAAGTGTGACACCATAAAGTACAGAAAGATGAAACGATAAAAGGGTCGATTCACTGTGCTAATTACATAGTAACTTGTAAGTTTCACGTCTAACAGAGTCTTCGTCACATAAAGTACGCGATAAATAGGGTATTGTAGAATTTCTATACTTAGTAGTACGAGCATATATCTTTTTATATTGATTTCTCGTCCTACCTGATGAGATACAAGGGGACAGGTGTGAATAAAGGGGGAGCAGAGGGTCTGACATTATAGCCTTTGCCCATTTCGTACAGGAATTTATATGTCTGTCGGCTATAGTATTAGCGAGCTCATGCAGTGGCAGACCACAAGCTCTACTCAAAGCATTTAATACTCTTCGCAATATGATATAATCTTTTTTGAGAATCCCAGGAAAGACTAATGGAGAGCAATAGAGTACAATAGGTGAAATACAGGAGTTTAAAAACATGAAGTTAAGGGAGAAGCCACAAAGAACCCAGACGGTACCGAAGAAACTGCTATTTATGAGTGTTGAATTTAAAGGTGATACTGCAGCTGAAATCCTGAAGAATCGCTTATGCAGATCACTGAGGAAAGCCTTCTTTATGGCTGAGCTATGTATCAATTTCTACATCCGACAAATGATCAATGGATATGTGAAGGATAAACCGCCGCTTTGGGCCACCTCAATGTGTGTTTATAAATTCACCTGTTCTTGTCGAGCTAGTTATATTGGCCTCACAAAGCGTACACTTTCCAAACGCATCTCTGAACATTATACGGCATGGTTAGCAAAGGGACAATGCAAGACAGTTACTAGCTCAATTCTCGAGCATTTGATGGACTCAGGCTAAGTAGCTTCACCTGAGTCGTCCTCCAATATCATCTACAAAGTGAATTCAAATGGTACAAAGGGCGTCAGGTTCCGGCTTTTGTGTATAGTGGAGGCGCTGGCAACTCCTCAACACAACCCTGAACTCTGTATACAGAAAAAGTTTGTCCAGTCTCTTATTCTACCTTGGTCTTAACCTCTTCACTAATCAATCCCTGTAAAAATATTTTGATTTTTGCTTTTCTTTTTTAATTTGACTTTTAGTTTACTTTTGCCTTAATAATAAATTCACTATTATCAATCTCATATGCTCCATCTGTAAATTTCACACCCTCTTCACACCTGTTAAATTGACACTCAACTACCACCTTTATTCTCACTCAAGAGCAATTTTAACCTTACCAAATTTCTATCTTTGTGCCGTTGAGTACCACGTAATTTAAAACTTTTAATTTTCACTTCTAAAGCCACTTCTGAGTAATTATATCAGTTATGTCACCTCGTATTACTCAATAATAGACCACTATATATTTTTGTAAGTATAAAAACGACTGTATAGCCTCTGAAGATGATTTCGTCGATAAAGAAAATTTTCTTTGCTGAATCTGTCTTTTATACTTGCAAATGTTACGGAATGTCAGTTAATGACAGGAGATTGCAAAACTTAGTAAACAGTGTTCAGAAAACTATACTGACACAGTTTATCTATAGAAATTTTAGGTTTAGACAAAGTAAGTGTGTGGGTGCATTGTGAAATATGTACGTTACAAAGACGAGAGGTGCCTACGATGGTGAGTAAGTAATAAATTAGACTACAATGTACTCAGTCCAACTCAAATCATAGAAACAAGAGACAAACAAACTTACACTGTATCAAGTGCGTGTTAAACCCACAGATCACATAATCAAGTGAAGAAAGGACAAAAAAGACATCCAGTAACCAAGAAAAGACATGACTGACTACAGCTTCTTTCTGAACACGTTAATCAAGTTTCAACCATTTGATGATGATTGCTTCAGGAAACTTAGGGAGAACCTATCTATTTCGACTGTTGGTAATTCTAAAGGATTTTGTGATGTCCACCTCAGGGACTGTATTGATGAGACGTTCAGCAGTGGAGCTTTGCTAGCGTTTGTTTACTTGAAACGTGAGCGTTTCGGTACTTGTTAACAAAATCTGAGGTGTCCCTCTCTCCCTGTTCTTTAAATGTAACTGCTCCAGCACATACATGTAAATTTTTATACGCAATTAGAGTTAACATCAGGAGGGTATCTGTCAACCTTTGATTGCACCAAATAGCATGTTTTCTTATTAACAGAAACCATCTTGACTGCAGAATAGGTTCCTCTAGTGACGTACTCAGTTTTCTGTTGACCATTGCTGCAATATTCTTACCTTTAAAATTGAGCTGAAAGAAGTAAGGCTTCTTACCCACTGCGATTTGTTTGATATTTGAGCCTTCACATCTTTCGTATTTGTTAATTAATCTCTAAGGGCAACCTCTGTTTTTCGACATCTTTCTGAGAATGATAAACTCTACCTCTAACTTCTCTGCAGAGCATATTCTCCTTCCCCTACTGTACAAAGGCTCGACTAGTGCTGGTTTAAAAATATTTGGACAAAGACTATTTAAACGTAGTCACTATCCATTCCATTTAGGCTTTAGGTAAATTGACCTCTGGATACTACCATTTTCTAGGTGTTAGATGGCAGTGTCAAGAAAGTGGAATTTTCATTCATTTTCATGTTCTACAGTGAATTCAATATTTGCATGTGAGTTGTTGAATACTCTAAGTGGGTAAGAAGCATGACTTTCATTGTTACACACTACAAATGTGTCATTGACATATCGACGATAAGAAGTTTTTTCGTCGATTGCATGCTTCAACTTTGTTTTCTCAAGGTTTGACATGAAGATATCTGCTAAAACAGGGCTATTTGGACTGCCCATAGCTACATCATCTATTTGTCGGTAAAGAGTATTGTCAAACTGCAATTGTCCATCAACGGTACATATTGGCAGTAGACGTTTAAATTCCCACACTGGGAATGCGAGAAGATGAAATATGAGCACTGTATATTAAGTTTGGAGTCTTCTGCCAACTGAAACTGCGTAACATTGCTCTAGACATAAACATTAATTTCCTAAGGCTATACGCAGCTGTTAAAATTCCAACGAAATGAAGGGTGGTATCATCTTATTCCGCACAGACTGTTGTTCTTGCTTTATTCAAATTCACAGAAGATAATAAGTGCGCAAAGACTAGACTACACGTAGCTATATTCTGCACTCTAAAATGATCGAAAAAATAATGTTTCCACTAATCCCCTACACCTCATTTGGAGTTCCAGGGTCAAAGCTTTTATGTTTTGACTGCGGCAGTGTTTTTTGCTTTACGGAATGATATTATTGAATCCACATCCAACACCCCCTTGTTTTCCGCCAGTGCTACCAACAAGACATGGAGTAGGATAACCGTAACAGGGCGAGCATTCCAACGTTGAACAGTCGACGTAGGGAGACGATATTATAAGTCAATACAGCCGTAAGATATGTGAATTCTTGATAGCACGTTCAAAACTCAATATAAATAGTTATTCCGGTGATTGTAGAGGGTCAAATTTTCTAAATACGCGCATGATCCGTGGTACTTTTTTACTGATATCATTGAACTACCATGCCACAAATGAAGAGACAAATGTGAAAGATACATTCTTTACTTATCAGTTTGCTTAAAACCACCTTTATGTAGCACTGGAAAAATCTGACGTGAGAACATTTTAAACACTTTGTAACTAAACCTAAAAACTGGAAATCTTTTAAGAAAATTCAATTTTCATACTAAAATATCCAGGCAACATTGTCTTAACTACAGGCCTTACACACGAGGATTTCAAAATCAGTATCAAAAAGGCAGTTTGGAAATCTTCTGCATTCAGCAAGGAGTACAAGATTTAGATGTTTAACGCCAATTCTAAATCGGTCAGTTTTTCTACATGGATCAGAAACTTGCAGTACACATCACGAACAGCTTTTCCAACAGTCAGCTTCAGACTTTTATCAACATCTGCCGCCCCCCCCCCCATATTGAAGATCAACTTTTCAGAACGCATAGATGAAATAACCAAGAACCTATTCCTCATTAAATATCCAAAAAATGGAGATTGGATGGGATACATGCTGAGAAGGCCGTCGAATAAAGTCGCACTCCTGGCTATCACTCGAGTGGAGCCCGAATGGGAAATGACGAGTGAGGTGTGAGACCCAGAGTGATATGGAGGAGATTATGTGAGAAGGAGATGAGAGGCTACGAGCCATCGTGCAGCCAGATGAAGAAAACTGCAGAGAACAGGGTGGAATGGAGATGTTCTGTGGAAGCCAAATGTTCCACTCTGAATTCAAGAGAATAATATAATGATAACAGATTAAAATGAAATAATAAATTTTCCAAATGAATAACGCACTTAGATACCATAAGTATGAAAAGATTTAAATTAATTCCAAGGTAGATTTCATCACAAACCGACGTCGTCTGGAAAATCAGTATATCCATGAAAAATTAAGATTACTCCATTCCTTTATGGGACTGTTCATTAGCGAGGGTATTATTTATTATTGTTCCCTTGGGTTCCTAGTGGAACATAGGGCTTCAACTGCACGTCTCCACTTGCTTCTGTCTTCCTTCTGCTGTACTTTTCACCTCCATCCATGTTAGTCCATACTCTTTCAACTCCTCTTCACATGATCTCACCCATGTGATCCTTGCACTGACATTCCACTCGCCGCTTTCCTTTCGGCCTGGTCCCACTCGAACAATGGCCTGACGCGCGCGCAATGTCATCCAGCGGCCTCCTAAGCGAATGTCCAATCCATCCCCATCCACTTTCCCCTGCATATTTGTTGGTTGGCCATTGGTTCTTGCTTTGTTTGTTTGTTTGTTCCCATAGTTTGCCATAGTTGGTGATGCTTTCCGGCCTGGCCATCTGATCTTCATTATAGATCCAGCGAAGACAGTTGTTGACAAAGGTCTGCAACCTGTTGGTTGGAAATATTCTTTGTGACCCACCGGCCAAGTTTCTGATCTGTATGGAAAAATTGACTGACTTGACGTTTGTATTTAAATTCCTACCGAATTTTGTTGTTGATGCTGGCTGAGTGACGAAGATTTACAGAATGGTTTCAGGTTGATGAATGTGTTTCTCGCCTTCCCGATTCTCGCTCAATTTGACATCCTCCTCGTCCGTTCCGACTTCCTGTATTTGAAACAACCATTAGCGAAGGTAATGCAGAATATTATAAGGTAATTCAGTCATCAGTCTGGAATCCATTAACTCTTGAATTCTGTTTTCTGTTCACTGGAGATATTTGGTCCTAATGTGGGACTCTCCAGCAGTGTGCTTTATATGTAACCTAGTGTTACATAGTTTTAATGCATTGTGAAGAAATCCACCCTGGAATAATTCTGTTGAATGTGCAAATCTTACGACTAAGATTACACACGTTTATTCTTTTGTTCTATCCTTCCATAAAAATGCCATTTTGGTCGCTTGTTCCTGTTTGTTTTATTTAAATAAGCTTGAGTTGATTGTGGAAAATTCTGGATATGATGTACGCATCAGTCTAACCAGTGAATCAGTACAGCTAAATGGTGGTCCATTTTCATATGTCTATCAAATCGCCTTCATGCACATTAAATTTGGATCTACGTCAAGTCAAGGATCAGAACATAAAATCAATGGTAAAGCATTCCCAGGAGAAGTAAGTTTAAAGCTCATTTTGGTGTAAAAAAAATATTAAATTTTAATGATTAATAGTAAATCACAGCATTTAAGAGTCTCAGAAGCATTTGAAAAGTGAAAAATTATTCACATTGAGAAGTACAAATTTACTGGTCATGAAGACATTAATGCAAGAATGTTACCAATACTAGATTGCTAAATTTAAAGGAATGAGGATAGAAACTGAAAGTGTTGTGTCTACAGGGGAACTTTACCTTCACACTGGCATGTCAGACTATGCGCACTCCATCTTATGTCACTAAAAACACTGAGTTTGATGAAATACTTATGTGATGAGGTGGAACAACTAACCACAGGAGTTGGAACAAGTCTTTCAAAAATCATGAAAGAATAGATGAGTCGACAATTATGTGTAATGCAATACTAAGTGTGCATATGACTTAGATATCAACGGAATGTGGGGCATTTAAAACGATGATAGTATAATCAACCAGCTGAAATGTTTGAGAAGATTACATGGAATCCCTGACAGACCAGCGATAAAGTGGCACTTTAATCAATCAACTCATTTAGAAATAGACTGTGTCAGCTGAAAAATGCGGTGAAGACTAAGAGACAGTTGAATTTAATTTAGTCACTACCATACAATGGATTTAGGGTCAGATACATAAAGGTCAGATTAACCTGTTCGGATTACTTAGATTATTGAAGAGTAAGTGGCCAGGAAAGCCCAAATTACTTGACCACCCTCAGATAAGGAATTTTCCGAAAAATCTCAGTTCCAGTATTGTAGGCAGTCTTATTCAAGAATGCCACAGGACTGAATAAAATGACAGTCCCGCAATCTTATAAAAGAGATTAAAGAGAAAGAAAATTCGATAGAAGCTGTGTCTATCGTATATAACAAGAATAACCCTACACTGTTCCAGGTATCTGAAAACATTTATTAAACCCACTACAATGGTGCTTCAGTGATTGGATGCTCGTTAGCCTCACTCTGCTGCCTACCAACGTACTACTCAACTCCATTTGGCTATTAATAAGCCTGGCAGAGACGGAAGGGTTAGCGTGAGGCCAGCAGCTCCAACACCACTACTGTCGAAGCTCCAAAGCTTGCAGCCACATTTTTTACTTGAGATGCAACTACAAACAGTGATTAACCATTTGTCATCATTTAAAATCATTTGTGTTCCAAATGGTAACTAGTAAATAATCCACTTTCAATTTGTAATGTATTTGACAAAAGCGATATTATGACGTCAGACCTTACGAATTTAAGTGGAAACGTGACAGAAGTTACCGAAATAGAAATGTTTATTGGCCTGTAGTGTTTCGAAAACTCTTAGAACCGGTGGATAAAGAATGTTGGCTTAATGGCGTAAAACGGATCACTGGAGAAACGTGGACTGCTGCATTCCTGTGCAAAAATCTAATTTTTAAATTAATATCAGTAAAAAGTTTGAGCATTGTGAATTAGATCAAATATTATTTGATCTAATTTTTAAAACTCAGTTATTCATTTAATGTGATGATGAAGCACAAAAAGAGTATCAACCTCCATTCATTCCCCTTGATAAATTTGAATAAAGCAAGAATAACAGTGGTTTCTGCAAAATAATATGGTACAATCAAAAATCGATAGATGTCCTCATGTTCTCATGTTAACTCCAACTGTGTATACAAATTTACATGCATCTGCGGGAGCAGTTACGTTGGAAGAACAGAAAGAAGGGCATATCTACGATTTTCTGAACATGTACCAAAAACCTTCGTCTAAAAGGAATAAATACTTTAAACAGTGCCATCGCCAGGCATCTCCTCGACACGGGTCATCAGGTGGAAATCAAGAAATCCTTTAAAATTATCAATACACAAAGGAGCTCCATTCTCCTCAAGTTTGCCGAAGCAGTTTCTATCAAACGCTTCAAACCAGATTTATGTGTTCAGAAAGAAGCAGTTATTAGTCTTTCCTTGCCATGGTAACTGGGTGTCTTTATTCTTTCTTTCATTTGATTACGTAGTCTTTGGCTTTAACCTCAACCCATTTTATAATTTGTAATTTCGCTTGTCTCTTGTTTCTATGACGTGAGTTGAACTCAGTACATTGTTACTTAATTTATTAGTCACCCTGCATCTAGCGTAAATCTTGTCGTTATTACGCAGCTCCTTTACCATTGTATGCATACATTGATTTTAACTTGAACTACCTGTGTAAACGCTACATAAGCGCAACTTTTTGAGTACTGTTCACTAATTGTGAAACTTTCTGTCAACTGACAACATGTAAACTTTGCAAGTATGTTAAAACTTTTCTGTACGTAAACCTCATAATTTATTTAGGCTATAAGCGGCAGCTGATAAGAAGTCAACGAAATAAATGATAGTAACATATTATTCTGCACAAGCCACCACTATTGTTCTTGCTTTAACCTCCATTCACCCAGACTAAAGTCGAAAATCATTAATAGTCTCTTGAGATGATGTTCTATTGTCTTCTAACATAACATTTCAATGATTTACTCTTTTACAAATCTAAAGTCACCAGCACTGCTGTTATATCCATCATATACTTGTATCACAATTACATTCCAGTAGTTATCAATCCTAATATAATGGCAGTAAAATATTCATCAACACATTTCTGGATACCTCTGCTTAATCAGCCTACAATAACTATTGAGCATACTGTGAACAATTTGGAAAATTTCGTGAATATGACTCCAACAATAATCAGTAGAACTAATCGAATTTCAGTTTTCAAAAAACAAAAGGTTCATCATACGTCCATGTTATTTGTCTGTGCTGTTGTTCAAGCTCTTCACTTTTTCTTTTAAGCGAATTCAGAAAACAAAAGAGTTGTAGAGAAATACATATTTTTCAGACAAATAATTCATTCTGTTGAAGAAAAAGAAAACAGAATAATTCCTTTTGAAAATGACTATTTTCAGATCTTATTTGAAGTAGCAAAATTTAATCTACATCTTTCATGCTAGTGCGTTGTTTCATTTCCATGTCAGGAATGAATCTAATTAATTGTCATTTGAAAGAAGAATGAACATTTATGTTCTTAAGGCACAATGATGAGTTAATATCAGTTAGAAAATCATTGAAAACCAACTGGGAGTACTGAGCGACTGTATCGTTCTAATGCTTGAGACTCGTTGGTAGTACGCGTCCACCGGGGTTTGAATCCAAAACCTTCCCGTTACAGGGTAAGCTCGTATAACATTCAACCGCGAGGAACCAACTCAATGGTCATCCCATGAATTCTAACTTCTACCGATTCACCATGTGTTGCGTGATCACCAGCCAATGCCATCGGTGAGTATCTGTCCCCACTCCCGACAGGGTGGGCCCCACTGATCACGGTTCCTAACCTGAACTCCAGACGTCTTCGTCCTAAGACTAGAACGTGGTAGAAATTGAGGTAATCGGCCACTGGAAATAGTCCAAGTGGCTGAGTGTTCTACGAGCTTGCCTTGTAATCAAAAGGTCACAGGCTCGAAACCCAGTCAGTGGGTGCCTACTATCAATGAGTCTCGAGCACTATGATGACACAGCTTTCCAAAAGTCCTCCAACCGATGTCAGCTCAAGATAAAACTTGAAGCACCTCAATGCCCTATAAACTTGCTCTTGATTACTTTATTTCTCATGAGAAGTAATGTTGTTCAAAGCTGATCTGCTATATAAATATGAGTGTGTTAACCCAATCTTGCCTAAATATAGTCATGAAGTAGAGTTTTAAAGAAGTTTTAAAGCCTTTGAGTCTTAAAGCACCAGTGTGTACGTTAAAATCAATTTTCCTCAGCTAAACGATGTTTGATTGTTTGGATGCAAGGAAAGGAATGACAGACAGTAATCCAAAAGTCGAACCTTTCCTCTTTATCTTTTTTGCCCCAGTGAGGTTTCCTAAAATAATGACCACTCTTGGCTCAGGCTTTTCTTCGCTTAACACTGAGGTCCATTAGACCAACTGGTAAAGATTAGTGAGAATACAACACACTCATTTTTAATGAAGAAGTCCGGTTTCAGATTCTGAATAGCCAATGTTCAGCTGTGTGTAGATGGCGTATTCGAAGTCCTTTCGAACGATGTTGAGGAACCATATGTAGAACCGTGAAACGGTCAAGAGAGGTTACCGGATGTTCAGGGTTGACAAGATTTTCGAGGATAAAGCTACTGCTGTTCCTTTTTCGTCCTTTGGCTAGCTAAACTGGATGGTGTTTCAGAATACGTTTGCGAACTAGACGTTGTGTTCGGCCAATACACTTCGCTCCACATTAACAAGTAAACTGATAAACACAGACTGAGGTAGCCAAAAGCGATATCTTATCCTTAAAGTTAGACTGGATAAATTGTCTACTGGAGAATGAGATAAGTAAGGTAGCTGCTTAAAATGTCTTCTTCAGACATTTAGAAAGGCGGTTTCTAAGAATTTTCGCCTCAGTGTCACCGATGAATTCCAGCTTCACGAAGAAAGTTTTCTTAGGAACAGTTGTGATTTTTGCTGACGGAGGCTTTTCCTTCATGTTTTTGTCTATGAATTCTGGTGGATACCCGTTCTCTAGTAGGGTTTCACGTAATGAATTTAATTCTTTCTCTATCATGTCTTCCAAACAGATTTTTCTAATCCTTGAAATTAATGTATGTATATTAAGTTTTGCTTTCGGATCAGTGGGATGGAGCTTTGCAAGTTGATAAAGTGTCCCGTTTACGTCGGCTTGCGATATATTGACCTTTGGATCGCTCAGTCTTGCATTCTTATGTTTCAATATAGGAATACTTCGTTCATTGATTTTATTTATGAATACGCCTACTCGTTATTGTATGTGTTCAGTATTTTGAATGACCCAGTCACTTAATTAATTGAAAAAATATTTCTATTTGAAATATTATTGTTATGTCAGCCTCCAGATAGATAATAAATATCCCAGCACATTTGCTTAACACTCAGTTGTTGTCAAAGAAACCTAATTCAGCTGATTATAATCAAGAATAATATAAAACGAAGAAATAAC